CCTCTCGCGCCGGCCGGGGGGCGGAGACAGACCCCTGCGCTCGGGCGGCAGCGGCCCCGGCGCCCCATGTGTCCGGCCGCCGGCGGCTCTCGCGCCCGCCGCCTGGGCGCGTCTCCGCCCCCCCCGCAACCCGGGGTCGCAGGCCCCGGCGTCAGACTCCCCCCCCCCAGCCCTCGAACACCTGGTGTCACCCCCGGGGGAGGAGGGGCTTTTCCGGGTTGCGAGCCGGCTCACGTAACACGCCGGGCGCCGGGCATAACCGTGTGTGCCGGCGCACGCGGGCGCGCGCGCGCATGCGCCCCCGCGCCCGCGCACGGGCATGTCCAGAAAAAGAGACACACCCCGGCTATGCACACACGCGGCGGCCACCAAACAGACCAACCGCCGAGGCGGGGCACCAAAAGAGAGAGAGCGAGAGAGAGAGGGAAAGCGCGGCAGAGGTCGAGACAGAGGCAGCCGGCGCAGCCCCATGGCCGCGCGCACGGGCCCGTATCGCGGAGGCCCGGCCCCCGTGCCCGCCCCCCGCCCAGCACCGGGCTGCGCTTGACCGGCACATGCCGCCGTGCCCTCGCGCCAGCCCGACCCACACCGCGGGGGCCACGCTCACATCTCACACTGCCCGGGGGGGCGGGCTGGCGCGGCCGTTCGAATGTGCTGGCGACTGGGCTTGACCGATGTGCCGCGGGCACGCCGGCCGCCCCGCCCCCGCAGCCCCGCTCCGGCGACATGGGCGCACGCGCGCGCCTGGGATCCCGCACGGCCCCGGGCACCGCGGGCAGGCCGATGTCCACCCCCCCCCCCCCCCCCGGCGGCCGCCAGCCCACGGGGGAAGGCCGGATGAGGCGCGCCCGCCCCGCGCCGGCTCGTCTCCAGTGTGCGCGGTCCCCTGAGACCGCGGGGGTTCCGCGCCGGCGCCCGCGCCCGCACATGAACTCGCCCGCGGCCGGGCAGGGTCGCTCCCGCAAAGCACGCACATGACCGGCGCCTGGTCACGCCGGATGGGCTGCGGTGGCACCTCGCCCCGGCGCCGCCCGATCGCCGCCCGGACAAACCCACACAAGCGCGCGCGCGCACACACACAGGCCTCGCCCCCACCCACGCATGGGGGCACGCCCGCGCCGGCGCGTGTGGCCCCGGCCGGACTAGATCTTCGCGCGGCACCATGGCCCGGGGACGATCGGCCTCTCGGGCAGCCCCCCTCCCCCCTCCCCCTCCCCCTCCCCCTCTTCCCCTCTTCCCCTCTCTCCGGCCCCCTCTTCGCCCCTCTGTCAACGCGCCGCCCCATGGCCACGCACTCGCCACCAGACGCCCCGGCCGAGCCAGCCCCGCCGGCCACCGGCGGGCGCATCTTCCGCTACTCGACTCTCAGCACGGCGCACGTGGAGCGCCTGTTCGACTCGACGCCGGCCCTGACACGCAAGCACCTGCTGGAGTGGGCCGCCTCGGCGGCCGGGCCATCGCCCGACTGCCCGGCCTTCGGCAAGCCCGGCCCCACGGCCAACGACACCTTCCAAGGCATGCCGCTGATTCACCGGTTCAGCACGGCCGCCCGGCCGGCCGGGGCCGACCTGGCCCCCCGGCCCACGGGCTGGTCCTTCCGCGCGCTGGACACCCTGCGCCTGTGCCGGTTCGCCTGGCCGGCCGGCGGCATCCATGTGACCCATGTGCCGGACGCCCCGTCGCAGGAGACCCTCTTCGGGAGGGCCTCGCGCGCGGCCCAGCGGGCCGGCCTGCGCGCGGCCATCGGCCAGTCGCTGCTGTTCGAGGGCCGCGCCGAGGGGGCCACCGCCGGGCGCCTGGACACCGTGCACATCGTCGTGGTGAATGCCCCCTTCGGCGGGGCGGCCGCCGCGCAGGAGGCCCTGGCGCGCCTGGTGGCCGTGCTGGCGCGCGTGGCCGAGCTCGACCGCCTGTCGGCCCCGGGCCCGGACCAGGGCGACGAGCCGGCCGCCCCCCCCGGCCAGGCGGACCCCCCCGCCACCCACGACGACGACGACGACGACGACGACGACGCCGCCTATGCCAACCGCCTGCATGGGGCCCTGCGCGCCGAGTGGCGCGAGTATGCCCGACGCGCGTGGCTGGCCGCCGGGCCCGGGTCCCAGCACCCGTCCGACGCCACGCTCGATGCACTGCTGTCCGGCGTGGCGCACGCCCTGTTCAAGCTTCGCCAGGAGGCGGACCCGGCCCTGTGCGTGCTGTACGCCGTGGACTCGACCCGGGAGGCCGGGGCCGCCGACCCGGGCGAGGCCCACATCGTGGCGGTCTTCCGCCACACGGCCTGGATCCGGCAGAATGCCCACCTGCGCGGGCTCTTCGACAGCCGGCTGTACTTCGATGCGGCGGAGCTGGAGCATGCGGCGCGCGCCGGCCTGGCCGTCCGGCGCTTCGAGCCGGCCGATGCCACGGACGACGGGGCCCCGGTGGCCGCGGCCTCCGGGTCGGGCCGCTCGCCGCTTGCCTTCTGGCCGACGGAGTCCCACCCGGAGGGGACCCCCCGGCCGTGGCTCCGCTGCCAGCGGGCCGCCTGCCCGCGTGGCCTGCCGCTGGCCCGGCCGGCCGACGAGGCCGACCTCTCGCCGGTGGCCCAGGCCAGTCGGCTGTTCCTGGACCGGTCGATGGCCGAGCACCGGGACCAGGCCGCCGTGGCGCTCGAGCGCCTGGCCACCGAGGCCGCGCGCGCCGTCTGGAAGGGCCTCCTCGAGCCGAACATGAGCCACTGGCTGGACCGGATCCCCGGGCCCGGCGGGGAGCATGCCCCGGCCCCGGGGGACGCCCCCTCCGAGGAGGACCTGGCCCGGCAGGTGGCCCGGGTCACCGGCGCGCCGGTCCCCTCGGCCGGCCTGGACGCCGAGGCCTTCGCCGCGGCGGTGGCCGCCGCCGCCGACCACGCCCTCGAGGTGTGTCGCCAGGCCGCCGGCCGGGCGGACTTCGCGGCCGGCGCCGCCCCGGCCGACCAGGTGCTCGAGTGGTTTTCCGACGCCCTGGACCGCATGGAGGCCCGGTGCTTGACGGCCGCGCGTGGCGTCCGCCACCTGCGCGACCTGGCCCGGTGCTCCCGCTGCCGGCGAGTGTACTACTGCTCGCGCGAGTGCCAGCTCCAGGACTGGACCCGGCACAAGGGGGCCGAGTGCGGCATCCCGGCGCCCCGGGACTAGCAGGACGCGGAGGGGCCCTGCTCCGTTTGCCGCGCGCGCGCGCCCCGCCCTCTCCCTCTCTTTTTTTGTCTCTCTCTCTCTCTCTCCCTCCCTCCCGAAAGCCGAGGCAGGGAGACCGGGCCGGGAAAATACACCTCGCCTGCTTGAGAGTGTATTGGCAAAGGGAAACCCCCCAATGGGGCATGTGTGCTTGTGTTTGTGTGCGCATGTGGATGCGCGTGACGCCACCGGCGGGGGCTGGTGTCAGGAGTCGCGGCCGGGCGGGCCACCCGGCGGCGAGGCAACCGGCCGGGCGGCCGGCTTCAGAATCGGTGCCGCCACCCAGGTGTGCGTGAAGGAGAGAATGGAGCAGGTCATGACCAGCATGCCCGGCGGGCCGAGATTCGCCGGGAGCTGGCCGGTTTCCGAGTACCGGTACACCCCGAGCGGGGCATCCGAGATGTCCGCCTGGCAGGGGTTCGACGAGATGACCAGCGTCCGGCAGAGCTCCGAGTCGGGGCTTATCCCCGGCAGGAGGAGGTGCTCCAGGAGGCAGGGGATCAGGGCCAGCCCGGTCAGCGGGGTGGATAGGGTGACGACCTGTTGCGCGCGCATATGTCCGCCGGGGGGGGGGGGGGGGGGGGGGGAAAGGGGGGTTTTTTTGGGTTTTGAGGGTTTGTGTGGGGGGGGGGGGGGGGGGGGGGGTATTTGGGTATTGGGGGGTTGTGGGGGGGGGGATGGGGGGGGGGGGGGGTAAGAGGGGCAAATCGCGTGTATCAGAGCAATAGAGAGAGAGAGATGGGGGGATGGGGAGATAAGGAATAAGTGAGTGAGTGAGAGAGAGAGAGAGAGAGAGAGAAAGAGAGAGAGCAAAGAGGACGCAGGGGGACGAAGAGAGGGACAGTATGGCCGACACGTCAGACACACTGGATGGCGCCCATACGGTCCCGGCAGACACCGGCAGACACCGGCACGACCCTGCACCCTGTCGGAAAGCGGAAGGACCCGGCGGGCTAAGGACGCACACTTTGCGGGCTCAGCCGGGGCACGCTGCGCCAGCTGGTGTCCGCCGGCCGGGGCGCCGCCGGGGATGGCTGGCGCGAGTCCAGCAGCGGGCTGTAAAATCGCCGGACCTCCCAGCCCGGCGCCAGGGCCTCATGCTTGGTGTAGGTGTTCAGCTCGATGGCCGAATGGTCCTGGACCCAGGTCTGCTGGGCGGGAGCGGGGGCGGGGGTCGGCTGTCGGGCAAAGCCGGTGCGCGGAAGAAGCGGGAAAGGGGGGGGGGGGGGGGGGGGCAGATGGATGCGTGAGTCAAACGCCCGGGCCACCGCAATGCAGGGGGGCGCGGGAGGTCAAAGAACGCACGCGCGCCGGCTTCGCAGGCACGGCCGGCATCGGCGCCGGGGCCGGCGGCAGAAGCAGCTTCACCGGGATGTCCCAGGTCATGAGCATGCTGTCTTCGGCCGTGCTCCACAGTCGGTATGTGGATGCGCAGTAGGCCGGGGTGAGGCGGCCGCCGGCTGCCTCGTGCTCCCCGGTCGAGGCGCTCCGGCCCAAGAACAGGGGCAGCGGCTCGAAGGACAGGGCCGACAGGCGCGATGCGTGCCCGGCCAGCCGCAGGGCCAGGCGCGGCGGCTGCTTCGGCCGCGGGGTTTCCGGCACGCTGAAAATGCTGATCAGGTCGTCATCACCGCCAATCTGCCGGAGAGAGCAGCGGGGGCCGGGGGCCGGGTGGGGGGGGGGGTGGGGGAGAGTCGAAAGAGAGTCGGAAGAGAGCCAAGAAAGAGCGAGCGGCATCGAGCAGAGCCCGAGAAGAACCGACCGGGCAGGGAGGTGAGCAAAACAAAAAGGGAGACGCGAAAGACCCAACGGTGGAGACCGGAAAAGACAGAGGCCGGGCCACCGCGCCCCGGGCAACAGCCAACCACACCCAAGGGACAGGCTCCAAGCCACACACACACACACACACACACACACACGAGGAGCCAGGCCGAGTGGGCCAGGCCGAGTGGGCCAGAGAGAGAGAGAGAGAAAGGGAAAAGAACAGGGCAAGACCCGCCGCAGCAAGACGCACCGCCAGCAGGTGCCCATCCGTGGACCAGGCAATGCACTGCGCCGTGCCGAAGTACGTCTTCACATGGTTCTGGCTGACATGGCTGATGCGCGGGGCCAGGCGCAGGTCGCTCATGGACAGGAGCCACACCCGGCCGCTCTCGGTCGCCGCGGCCAGGGTCAGGTGGGTCCGCTCGCGCGACCTGTCCGGGGCTCCGGTGGGGAGGGTGGTCTCGGCGCCGGAGTCCGACGTCGCGTACAACGACGGCAGGCTGGCCGGCGGCTGCGGCCGAAAGGCCAGGGCCGTGATGGCGCTGCCATTGACCAGCTTCACCAGGGCCAGCGGGTTGACCGGGTCGTGATGCAATGAGGCCGCGCCGCTGTTGCGCAGCGAATAGTGGTACACGACCATGCTACACGTGGCAAGGGGACACCGGGAGAGTGGCGGGGGAGGGGCACAGGCGAGTGTCAGGCACGGGGGGCCGCCGTAAGGCGAGCGGGGCGGGGCGGGGCGGGGCGGGGCGGGGGAGAAAAGCCCGGAAGAGGGGAGGGGGGCGGCTCGGAAAGATGGCCGCCGGCCCCGGACGCACTCCTTCCGGTCGTGCGTCGTCAGCGTCGGCGGGATGAGCGTGTTCCGGAGGATGTCCATCACCACCAGCGACCCGTCCAGGAAGCCGGCCACAAATTGCGTCGTCTCGGTCGGGGTGTTGCGCGCCGAGTGGGCCGTCCGCCGGGCCGGCTCCGAGGGGAGCGACGCCGCCGACGGCGGGTACCAGGCCACCGCGGTCACCGGGTTGCCGAGGGCCAGCGGCCGCTGCAGCCAGATCCCCTGGCTGGTGCCGGCGGCCAGCTGGAAGAAGTCGATGAACAGCAGATCGCCGATGGAAGTGCCAATCAGCACCGGCAGCCGGGGAGGCGTGTCCACCCGGAAGGCGGACGGCTGCTTGAAGGCATGGCACCGGGGGACCGCCGTGTGGAAGACCACGCGCGCAAGGTGGTTCTGCAAGAGCCCGCCCGCCAGCCAGCCAGCCGGTCAGCAGGGCCCCAGCAACAGGTCAGTGTGAGTCGGCCGCCGGCGAGCACCCGGCCCACGCCCCGGCACATGTGCGCCACACCCACGCACCTGGATGTCCTCCTCCGGCAGGAGCGGGTCCAGCAGGAAGAAGCAATTCTCGAAGTTCATGCCGACAAAGGCCTGCCGGCTGGAGCTGATGCCGGTCCGCAGCGACCCGGTGGCCAGGCTGCGCCGGTGCTCGAACCACGCCTCCCGCTGGGCCGGATCCACCAGCGTCTGGCTCATGTAGATGGTGAAGTCGGCCCGGGTGAAGACCGGGACCTGGTCGTCGATCGGCAGCGGGAAGCGCGGGGCTGCGACCGGGCCGCCGGCCGCCGGGCCCGCGCCGCTGCCCCCGCCGCCGCCGCCGCCGCCGCCGCCATTGTCGCTGGAGGCCAAGTCCCCAGCGAGGAAGCGCCCGGCCGACAGGACCGCCGGCACGATGCCGCCCAGATTCAGCAGCGAGGAGGAGGACACCGCCGAGGCCGGCACGGGGCCGGTCGACTCGGCGTCCGCCGGGGCCACCAGGATGCCGGAATCCGACGACGAGCCCGAGGAGATCGACGCCCGGTCCGACGCGGCGACCGGCTCCGGCGCGATGATCGTGAAGTTGGGCATGTGGTCGGACGGGCCCAGGGGGACAATCGAGCCGGACCGGTAGCGCCCGGTGTCCGCCACCTCGGGCCCGTCCTCCGGGAAGGCCTCCGGCACACTGGGCCCGAAGGGAAGGACGTCAGTGCATGGACGCGGTCAGCCCCTGCCAGGGCGGACGTGGCGG